TGGGTAACAAGAGCGAAACTCCGTCTCAAAAAAAAAAAACAAAAAACCAAAAACATGGATCTAGAGAACATTTTCACAGCCCTGCCCACATTCACCAGGGCAATGCTGCTGGAACATTTAATAATGGGGAGTATTTGTAGCCTGAAGACCTACTGGTTCTATGAGTCATATTTAAAAACTGGATTGTATGTTTACTTCCTATACCTCAGTTTCTTTGAGGGCCTGTGAGACTATTGATTCATCCAATGCTGTTTTTGCAGGGATGCCAAACTGATTACAAAACAGTATATTTGGCCGGGCATGGTGGTTCCCGCCTGTAATCCCAGCACTTTGGGAGGCCAAGGCGGGCGGATCACCTAAGGTCGGAAGTTCAAGACCAACCTGACCAACACGGAGAAACCCTGTCTCTACTAAAAATACAAAATTAGCAGGGCATGGTGGCACATAACTGTAATCCCAGCTACTCAGGAGGCCGAGGCAGGAAAAAACCTTGAACCCAGGCAGAGGTTGTGGTGATTCAAGATTGCGCCATTGCACTCCAGCCTGGGCGACAAGAGGGAATCTCTGTCTCAAAAAAATTATATATATTATAATTTATTATATATAATAAATTATCTATTATATATAACTTATTATATAATATATATATATGTATAATATATATAATGTATAATATACATTTTATTATAATACATATATTTATATACATATAATGTATAATATACATTATAATGTATAATGTAAATTATAAATTATAAATTTATTTATATACATATAATGTATAATATACATTATAATGTATAAATGTATAATATATATAATATGTCTCTGCTTGGTTATTTTGATTAAAATAATCAATTTTTGTTAGGTGATATATGCATGTGGCACAACAGTCAAAAACCACTCAAAGGTTTTCAGTAATTATCATATGACCCAGTAATTCCACTGGTGGGGATATACCCAAAAGAACTGAAAAACAGGTGTTCAAACAAAAACTTGTACACAAATGTTCACAGCAGCACTTTGCCTGATAGCTAAAAGGCAGACAGAACCCAAATGTCATCAACTGATGAACAGATAAAATGTGATTTCTCTATACCGTGGAATATGATTCAGCCATAAAAGGGAAAGAAGTACTGCTACATTCAACAATGTGGATGGACCTTGAGAGCATTGTGCTAACTGAAAGAAGTCACACATAAAAGGCCACATATTACATCATTCTGTTTGTATGACGTATAGGCAAATCCGTAGAGACAGAAAGCACACGGGTAGTTGCCAGGGGCTGGGGGAGGACGGAATAGGAAGAGCTTCCTAATGAGCATTCGGTCTCCTTTTGGGGTGATGAAATGTTCTGAAACTAGATGGTGGTGGTGGTGGCTGCAAAATGTTAATGAATGTACTAAATGACACTGAATCATACACCTTAAAATAGTTAAAACAATAAATTTTATGTTATGTGTATTTGAGCACAGTAAAATAAATAAAGAATATTCAGTGAAAAGCAAGTTCTCCTTTCTCCAGGTCCCCTGCCTGAAGGCAGAAACAAATAGCACTCTTCTCTGTCCTTCCAGAGATTATTGAACGTATGTGTGGCTATGTGCATATAAATATATATAGTGTTTATATATTTGTATACTACATTGTGTGTATTATATATATAGTATGTGTATATATATATATATAGTGTGTGTGTATATATATATACTATATATATATATATATATATATATATATATATAGTATATATATATTGTGTATTTCTTTTTCTTTTTTTTTTGAGACAGAGTCTTGTTCTGTTGCCCAGGCTGGAGTGCAGTGGTGTGATCTTGGCTCACTGCACTCCAAGTGATTTTCCTTGGAGTTCAAGTGATTTTCCTGCCTCAGCCTCCTGAGTAGCTGGGACTACAGGTCCCATCATTCCTGGCTAATTTTTGTATTTTTAGTAGAGATGAAGTTTCACCATGTTGGCCAGGCTGGTCTAGAACTCCTGACCTCGTTCGTGATCCGCCCACCTTTGCCTCCCAAAGTGCTGGGATTACAGGCATGAGCCACTGCGCCCAGCCTCCTTTTCTCCCTTTTTTAGGACCCCAGTGGTCACGTTGCTCTGCAGCTTGCTAAACAAAACATTTCCTATGGTCCCAAATCAGTGCTCCTTCTTTCTAATGGCTTTCAACTTTTCCAAAATAAGTGACAATAATCTCATTACAATTATAATTTTATTTTTTATGAATGAGATTGAGCATCTTTTCATGTTTTTACAAGCCATTTATATTTTCTTATATGTGAATTTTCTTTTCTTATACTTTGCCCCCTCCATCCACTTTGTGTTTTGAGATGGAGTCTCTGCTCTGTCACTCAGGCTGGAGTGCAGTGGTGGGAATCTCAGCTCACTGCAGCCTCCACCTCCTGAGTTGAGGTGATTCTCCTGCTTCAGCCTCCCCAGTAGCTATGGTTATAGGTGCCTGCTACCACACCTGGCTACTTTTTGTATTTTTAGTAGAGACAGGGTTTTACCATGTTAGCCAGGCTGGTCTCGAACTCCTGACCTCAAGTGAACCACCAACCTTGGCCTCCCAAAGTGCTGGGATTGCAGGTGTGAGCCACCACGCCTAGCCTACTTTGCCCATTTTTATGTATAGTTGTTGGGGTTTTTTTTTTTTGGTTTGTAGGAGCTCTTTATGAGTTTTTATAATAGAGGAGCTCTATATTAATTTTATAATTTAAAAATTATAAAATAAATTTTATTTGTTTGTTAGAGATAGGGTAAAAACTAGGCTTATCAGACCTTCCCCTCCCTTTTAGCCTCTGGTCCCCACTCCCACCCCACTTTCACTTTCAGACCAGGAGGTGGTTGTCCGAGTGCTTCAGCTTTGCCACTTGGGTCACCTGCTTCCTGACATTGTCCTGGTATTCAATGCAGAGAAGACACACGTGGCATTTTTTTCCCTCATCCTTAGATCATGATATAGCAAGATGAGGAAGGAAAGGTCTCTTTGGGAATAGCCATGGGCAAGTTCCAGCTGAGACTAGTCTCAGATTTCCTTTTTTTTTTTTTTTTCCCAGAAATGGGGTCTCACTATGTTGCCCAGGCTAGTCTTAAACTCCTGGCCTCAAGCCATCCTCCCAAAGTGCTAGGATTACAAGAGTGAGCCACTCCGCCTGGCCCCTTTTTATAAATTAATATTGTTGGCTCCGTCTATGACATGAATTCCAAATGTTTTCCCCAATTATCTTTTTTTCTCCCCCTGAAACAGTCTTGTTCTGTCACCCCAGCTGGAGTGCAGTGGCATGATCTTAGCTCACTGCAACCTCTGCCCCCTCGATTCAAGCAATTCTCATGCCTCAGCCTCCCAAGTAGCTAGGATTACAGGTATGGGTCTTCATGCCTGCCTAATTTTTGCATTTTTAGTGGGGACAGGATTTCACCGTGTTGGCCAGGCTGGTCTTGAGCTCCTGACCTCAAGTGATCTGCCTGCCTCAGCCTCCCAAAGTGCTATGATCTCAGGTGTGAGCCACTGTGTGGCTAGAACTTGTTATCTCATGACTCTCTCTAATTTCCAGTTTTCTGCTTATAAAGTCTTGCTAGGGTATGGAGGGGAAGGGCCTATGACTCTTTACACTATCTCTCAGTAAGCCCTCTCTGCTGTGTCTCAGTCCTCTCTTCCAAATGTGGGAGTATTTATCACCTACTGACTTCAGCTAAAATTCAGAGACAACTGGCAAGCATTCATCCAGCACCCTGTTTTCCATATACATACATGTACATAAATACATAAAGTAACATGAGATCGTTTAGTGAAGGTGGTTTCCTAACAGGCTTCTCTTAATATTTTATTGAGAGAGCATTTCCCCATACCATTAAATGTTCTTGAAAAGAATGGTTTTTTAATGACTGCTTGTGATATCATTGTGTTGATCCACTATAATGGATTTTAGTATTTACTGTTGGACATTTAAGTTATTTCCTTCTTTTGAGATGGGGGTCTCAAAAATTTCCAATTTTTTTAAGTGACACGATTCAGAATATCTTCAATGATAAAATGATTACAGATTCCTGGAATTTTTTTCTTAGGTTAATTTTCTAGAATTAGAATTTCCTTATTGAAGAGTATGAACTCTTTTGTTGTTGTTGTTGTCTCTTTTTTGAAATGGACTTTCACTCTCGTTGCCCAGGCTGGAGTGCAATGGTGCAATTTTGCCTCACTGTGACCTCCGCTTCCCTGGTTCAAGCCATTCTCCTGCCTCAGCCTCCCAAGTAGCTGGGATTACAGGTGCCCACCACCATGCCTGGCCAATTTTTATTTTTTTAGTAGAGACAGGGTTTCTCCATGTTGGTCAGGTTGGTCTCGAACTCCCGACCTCAGGTGATCTGCCCGCCTTGGCCTCCCAAAGTGCTGGAATTACAGGTGTGAGCCACCATGCCTAGCCAAGTATTAACTCTTTTAAGGCCCTTATTACATACTATCATCAGTCATTTTCCAGAAAAGCAGCCCCTAGTGACTTCTATGAGTCGTGCTTAAAGGTATATACCTCAATGCCTCCTTGCCAGCAGTGAGTAGGTTATTTCACTTTAAATATTTGCCAACTTGGGCTGGGTGTGGTGGCTCATGCTTGTAATGTCATCACTCTGGGAAGCCAAAGTGGGTGGATCACTTGAGGACAGAAGTGTGAGACTAGCCTGGCCAACGTGGCAAAACCCCATCTCTACTAAGAATACAAAAATTAGCCAGGCATGGTGGTGCAGAGGCTGTGGTGACGAGCCGAGATCGCATCACTGCACTCCAGCTCGGAGACACAGTGAGGCTCTGTCTAAAAAAAAAAAAAAAAAAAAAATCGCTGCGGCTGCTTTAGGGTAAGTAGCATGGACAGAGATAGTGGGATGTAGCAGAATTCAGAAAATTATGAGAAGCCTTCTCTGCTTAGCCCTGGCCGTAAGGAGATGTTCGTCGTGCCTAAGCAACATCCCCTCTGCAACACAGCTCGCTTATCTAGAGGAGAAAGGGCTGGATGCAGATACTCACAATGCTCTTTGACCCTTTTTGTTGTGGTGTGTTGGTCGTTTCCTTCTTTTCCGTCAGCCTCAAGCCCGCCTCTTTCTATGGTGTCTGCTGGCGCTAGAGCTCCTGGAGGGCCAGTTTCCTCTCGGGTTCGGTGAATGGGAGGTATCGGTGGGGGCTGGAAAATGGAAGAAAGGGAGAAGGGATTTTCTTCCTGTTACATGCACCTTTCAGATCCCCTGCTTCAAGGCCAGGCGTGGTGGCTCACTCACACCTGTAATCCCAGCACTTTGGAAGGCCAAGGCAGGCAGATCACCTGAGGTCAGGAGATCGAGACCAGCCTGGTCAACGGGCGAAACCATGTCCTTACTAAAAATACAAAAATTAGCTGAGCATGGTGGTGCATGCCTGTAGTCCCAGCTACTCAGGAGGCTGAGGCAAGAGAGGCGCTTGAACCCAGGAGGTGGAGGTTGCGGTGAGCCAAGATGAAGCCATTGCGCTCCAGCCTGAGTGACAAAACGAGACTCTGTCTCAAAAAAAAAAAAAATTCCTGCTTCAGCCTGTAGCTTCCTTAGGTACTCCCAAGACCAGCCCCTTCAAATCCCTCCGCAGAGGTTGCAAGGCAAGCACCAACCTGGGGGGCTGCCTCCACACTCCTAGGTTCTTGTGACCCAAGCTTTAATGCTTTGCTCCAGCACAAGGGTGGTAGCTACCTCCAGCAGTCATGAACATCAGCGTTACCTGGGCATTCCTTTTTGCCCTCTCAGCCCTCCAACATCTGTGTAACCATTTCTCTACTTTTTTTTTTTTTTGAGACAGAGTCTCACTCTGTCACCCAGGCTGGAGTGTAGTGGCACGATCTCGGCTCACTGCAACCTCTGCCTCCCAGGTTCAAGCTTTTCTCCTCAGCCTCCCGAGTAGCTGGAATAACAGGCGCCCACCAACTACGCCCAGCTAATTTTTTTGCATTTTTAGTAGAGACAGGGTTTCACCATGTCGGCCAGGCTGGTCTTGAATGCCTAACCTCCTGATTCACCCACCTTGGCCTCCCAAAGTGCTGGGATTACAGGCCTGAGCCACTGCGCCCGGCCTACCATTCTCTACATTATTTTTTCCTGTTTATATTACCTAGCATAGCTTTTGCTTTCCTGACTGGACCTTGACTGAACAAATTGGCTAGAGTTTTTTCTTACTTAATTTGGAATTTAAAAAAAAAAAAAAACAGACAATGGGGTATTAAGGAAGTTAGTCAATTAGCTATCATATCTTTTGCCATTATTTATTTATTTTTTTTGAGACGTAGTCTTCCTCTATCACCAGGGCTGGAATGCAGTGGCATGATCTCAGCTCACTGCAGCCTCAACCTCCCGGGCTCAGGCAGTCCTCCCACCTTAGCCTCCAAGTAGCTGGGATTACAGGCGCGTGCCACCCCACCTGGCTAATATTTGCATTTCATGTAGAGATGGGATTTTGCTGTGTTGCCCAGGCTGGTCTTGAACTCCTGGCCTCATGGGATCCACACCCTCTTGGCCTCCCAAAGTGCTGGGATAACAATTGTGAGCCACGGCACCTGGCCTATCATGATTTCTATTAGTTTGATGTTTGCCTTTGTTTGTTTATATGTTTATGCTTCAGAAAATTTTCAAATTGTTTTGTTTTGTTTTATTTTTTGAGACAGAGTCTCACTCTTGTCGCCCAGGCTGGAGTACAATGGTGCAATCTTGGCTCACTACAACTTCCACCTCCTGGGTTCAAGCAATTCTCCTGCCTCAGCCTCCCAAGTAGCTGGGATTACAGATGCCGGCCACCACGCCTAACTAAATTTTTGTATTTTTTTTTTTTTTTTGAGACGGAGTTTTGCTCTTGTTACCCAGGCTGGAGTGCAATGGCGTGATCTTGGCTCACCGCAACTTCCGCCTCCTGGGTTCAGGCAATTCTGCCTCAGCCTCCCGAGTAGCTGGGATTACAGGTACGCACCACCATGCCCAGCTAATTTTTTGTATTTTTAGTAGAGACGGGGTTTCACCATGTTGACTAGGATGGTCTCGATCTCTTGACCTCGTGATCCACCCGCCTCGGCCTCCCAAAGTGCTGGGATTACAGGTGTGAGCCACTGTGCCCACCTTCTTCTTCTTCTTTTTAAAGGAAATACCCATGGTAATGAAATGAAGGGCACACATAAAGGGTCAAACATCTGTTTTCATCACTCTTTGGGAATTGTGCCACTGCCTCCTTCTCCTCAAGAATTAATATTATTTGCTTTTATTTTCTGAAATCACAATTGACCTCAATTTCAGGTAACACTATTTGTGTTTTGTTTGGTATAATCATGAGGAAATTTGGAGTGGCATGTAAGAGATCTATTTAGAAAAACTTTGTTCCTTCAAGCACTAATGTACATGTGCACATACACATTCCAACAGCATAGGTACAAGAGAAGGTCCCCTTCAAACTTGCATTGGATTTTGTGAATTAGAAATGAACTTGGGGTCTGGACATGGTGGCTTATGCCTATAATCCCAGCACTCTGGGAGGCCGAGGTGAGCGGATCACCTGAGGTCAAGAGTTCAAGACCAGCCTGGCCAACATAGCGAAAACCCATCTCTACTAAAAATACAAAAATTAGCCAGGCATGGTGGTAGCCACCTGTAATCCCAGCTACTCAGGAGGCTGAGGCATGAGAATTGGGTGAACCTGGGAGGCGGAAGTTGCAGTGAGCCAAGATTAAGATCGTGCTACTGCACTCCTGCCTGGGTGACAGAGTGAGACTCCATCTCAAAAAGAAAAAAAGAAAAGAAAAAACAAATGAACCTTGACCAGGCACAGTGGCTCACACCTGTAATCCCAACACTTTGGGAGGCCAAGGTGGATGGATCCTTTGAGCCCTAGAGTTTGAGGACAGCCTAGGCAACATAGTGAGACCACTGTCTCTACAAAATTTTAAAAATCAGTCAGATGTGGTGGCACGCACCTGCAGTCCCAGCTACTTGGGAGGCTGAAGTGGAAGGATCACTTGAGCCTGGGAGATCAAGGCTGCAGTGAGCAGAGATCATGCCACTGCACTCTAGCCTGGGTGACAAGAGCAAAACCTGTCTCAAAAATAAAATGAAATAAAATAAAAAATAAATACATTGTAGACTTTTCTGAATTATATTATTTTTGACTATTTGTTCTTAAGGATGAAGCATCAAAAAGCTGGAAATCTCTGTGTGTGTATGTTTGTGTGATCAAGAGAGAAAAAGAAGGAGAAATAAATTTTTGTTTTGTTTTGTTTTTGAGACGGAGCCTCACTCTGTCGCCCAGGATGGAGTGCAGTGGTGCAATCTCAGCTCACTGCAACCTCCACCTTCTAGGTTCAGGCGATTCTCTTGCCTCAGCCTCCCGAGTAACTGGACTACAGGCGCATGCCACCACGACTGGCTAATTTTTTGTATTTTTAGTAGAGACAGGATTTCACCGTGTTAGCCAGGATGGTCTCGATCTCCTGACCTCATGATCTGCCCACCTTGGCCTCCCAGAGTGCTGGGATTACACGCATGAGCTGCTGCGCCCAGCCCAAGAGAAAGAACATTTAAGGGTATTGATTAAAAGTCTTCCAAGTAGTTTAACAAGGCAGAGATCCCACTGCTTATTTAGGTGACCTTCAATTGTTACTTTTTCATGTCTTTTCCTCTGGGCAAGTTTATCCTGAGAAGAAACCTCCAGTCTCCTGCTTAATGGGTACATATTATGAATAATAAGGTTACCTATACCTTAGGGGTTAAGCTAGGAAGAAATTGGGGGGGGGACTGGAAACATAGGAATATCACAAAATGGGAAAATCATTTGAGAAAAATTTGATGTTTGATATCTCAAGAAAGCATTAAAGTACTACTATGTGGAAAAAAAATCTGTGCTCACAATCGGTAAGTTTGCTGCACAAAGGCCTCTGGATACTTGAGGTATCACTGTATTAATAAGTATTAATAGGGGTATGTGTTTGAAGTATACATTGAGCATGTATCTTTAATGCACCCTTTTCAGTTCAGCCATCTTTGTCTTTGGCCACTGTAATGCAATCCCTAGCACCTACAGGCTGACAGTGTACATGGTACAGAACTGTGTTTGTGTGTGTATCGTGGTGAGGGAGTGGGCAGGGGTGGTGGTGGTAGTGGAGAGTGGAGCCTTTGGGAAACATTTCCATTCATAGGTTTCATGGGTCCCCTTCCCTGCAACTGACAGGATTTCGTGCTGATGAGGATCATTTCAGTGGTCTCTTTGACCTCTACAAAGCTCTGCATTGTTCTTTCTAACCAGGGATCAAAAGTGTGGAAAACTTTTGCCTTGAAATGTTTTTATTCCAGCAAGAAGACTCAGTTTTAAACACAAAATATACTTGTTTTAGCTCTGTGCTTCCAAACTTCCAAAGAGAAGACCTTTTCGAAATGTGCTGGATTCTCCGTGCGTTTGTGTATATTAATTCCCACCCTTTGCAAAGTATTTTGTGGTGGCATAAACATCGTTTTAAAACAGGAAGTTAGCTCTTAGTCATTAGTCTGAAATCAAGTGCTTCAGAAAAAATGAAACCGGCTTCAGCCAGAGAAGAATTTAACATGACAAAAGTCACAGCAGGAAATTAAGTGACTCTGGCTTGGCCTCTCCATTCACAGCTTTTGGGCATGTTCATTCATTTTGTCCATCTCTTAAATACCTACTTTATGCATGGCCTCATTTAACACTCTAGTGCCCACCAGTCAAATGAGCTACTCAGTCAGACTGCAAGGACTCTGATAATACATAGGCTTCTCATGAACAAAGCTGGGGAGAAGAGGCATTATTTTCACTGCTATATAAATATTTCGTTGTGTGAATGAAACATGATTCACTTATTCATTCTCCTAATGATAGACAACATTTTGGGTTGTTTCCAGCTCTTTTCTATTACAGACAATGCAGCAACGAACCATCTTGCACAACCCTGTGGTGTACATGTATGAGTTTCACTAAGGCAGCAGTCTTCAAAGTGTGATCCAGGGACCTACAGGGATCCCCAATGCCCTTTCAGAGGGTGCACACAAGCAAAACTTTTTTTTTTTTTTTTTTTTTTTTGAGATGGAGTCTCACTGTGTCGTCCAGACTGGAGTACAGTGGCATAATCTGGGCTTACTGCAACCCCTGCCTCCCGGGTTCAAGTGGTTCTCCTTCCTCAGCCTCCTGAGTAGCTGGGACTAGAGGCACACGCCACCATGCCCAGCTAAGTTTTGTATTTTTAGTAGAGACCAGGTTTCACCATGTTGGCCAGGCTGGTTTCAAGCTCCTGGCCTCAGGTGATCTACCCGCCTTGGCCTCCCAAAGTGCTGGGATCAGAGGCATGATTTACCATGCCTGGCCGCAAAATTATTTTCATAATAGTTTTCACTCCCATCCTGTCGGGGTATGCTGTGGAGTTTTCTGGAGGCTTCATGACACATCCACAATTATCTGAAAAGGCTATTAAGATACTCCCACCTCTTCTAATTACATATCTGTGTGTGGCTGAAATTTTCTCATATACATCAACCAAAACAACATATTGCAACACTTGAATACAAATCGAGATTCTAGCTATCTTCTAGTAAGCCTGACAATAAAACAGATCGTAAAATATGCCTCTCATCTCCCTAAATTTTAACATAGAATTTTTTTCATAAAATATGTTAACATCCATTGATTTCATTTGTTATTTTAAAGCTGATTAATATTTTAACTTTTTCAGTTTTAATTTCTAATACTGTAAATATAAATAGAAAAGCTTTTTTATATTTATATAAACAAAAACAAAAGCTTTTTGGCATCCTTGATAATTATTTTTTTGGAGACAGGGTCTCGTTCTGTCGTCCAGGCTGGAGTACAGTGACACAATCATGGCTCACTGCAGTCTCGACCTCCTGGACTCAAGCGATCCTCCCAAAGTGCTGGAATTGCAGGCATGAGCCACTGTGCCCATTCTGATAATTTTTTTGGGGGACAGAGTTTTGCTCTTGTTGCTGGAGTGCAATGGTGTGATCTTGGCTCACCGCAACTTTTGCCTCCCAGGTTCAAGTGATTCTCCTGCCTCAGCCTCCCAAGTATCTGGGATTACAGGCATGTACCACCACACCTGGCTAATTTTGTATTTTCAGTAGAGATGGGGTTCTCCATGCTGGTCAGGCTGTTCTTAAACTCCTGACCCCAGGTGATCCACCCGCCTCAGCCTCCCAAAGTGCTGGGATTACAGGCGTGAGCCACCATGCCCAGCCCCATCCTGATAATTTTTAAGGGCATAAGAGTCCTAAAACTAAAAAGTAAGACAAGTGGTGTCCTAGGGTATATACGCAGGAGTTGTGATGTAGGTACATATTCATCTTTAAATGGTTAATCTAATAATCACTGATGGTTAAGTTCAGTTTGGTATCATTTACACAGAGCCCCCCAAACCAGCACAACTCAGCTTTATACAGCTCAGAAATGCCTATTTGCTAAAACTGAAAAAAAAAAAAAAAATAGAAGGCAAGGTTAAGCTCAAAATGTAGGATAGTGTTTACTTCTCAGGGAGAGGCAGGGGGATGGAGGGAGAAGGGACAGATTGGATTGGTTCTTAGGTACAGTGTTTATTACTGTGCTTTTTAACTTACAGATCTGCGCATTTTTCCTTTATGTGTGTTAAATATTACATACTTTTAAAATGTAATATTAATAATACGGTTTCTTTATTATTGAAATAAAGAAATTAAAAATAATAAAGAAACAGTTTCTGCACTCAAGAGGCTCCCTGTCTGCCGATTTTGAGTGGAAATCACACTCCTCTTTCCTGAGTTTCAGCTCATTGAGAAACTGACCAGGAATCAGTTCAGCTGAAAGTTGAGGCTCCATTATCTGCAAAGCTGGATTAGAGAATGTGGAGGGCAGTGATTTTCTCCTCCTTGACTACCTGATCCAGTTGGTCCTGTGCAAACCAGGGAGTCCCCTGCTGACCTCTCCCCAGGTGGCAGGATCTGTCTGGTGGAGGAGGGGACCGAAAGTTATACAGGCTTTAGGGGATGATGCCTGTGATTTTAGAACCCAGATCGATCCTCGTCCAAGGGTAATGGCTTTTGCTGACCCTTCTGGGCCTCAGTTTCCCTTCCATAAAAAGGGAATAGCATCTTACAGTTGTGTCATGAGAAGTCATTGTGTATCCTAGGGCAGGGGTTGGCTTTCCTGTTTCCCTTCAAGTGCAAGGTCAGGCTACACCCCTAGGATGACTGTACCCACCTCTCTGGGTTTGGCTGTTCTCAGCCACTTTCAGGGCAGAGATCTATCCAGAGAGGGCAATACCATGACCCTGCCACAGGCGACACAGCTCATTCCACATCGTTAATTCTCCCACGTTTCCAATGCTTACATTTTATCTCCTCACTGGGAAACTGTAGGGGAACTCCCCTCCCTCCCTCCCCTTCCTTCCTCCATTTATGCTGGGTCACCCCCAGGCTTCCCTCAGAGACTCCCACTCTGGGACTTGATTCAAGGCCAGTCACTTACCCCAGGCAGCAGCTATGAGAGATCAGGTGGACCCTCCAAGCAACGAGCTAGGAGAAACACCCACAAACCACCAAAGTGGGCTCTTGCACTGTGCCCTCCTCCTCTCAGACACGGACAACGGTGGGCTCAGCTGAGCTGCATTTAAGAGGCTGATGGCCCTCATCTGCAAGCCTGGTTTAGAACCTACCCATTCAACTTGGTTTTGATTCTATTCAATTATATTTAATTCCTCTCAACAATGAAGTGTCAGGTGCTGGGCAAGGCCAGTATGTTTAAACCTCTGAGGCTCACCTCCCCAGAAACCAACTTTGTCAGTGACAATTCCAGAAGTGGAGTCTAATTCGAAGGTATTTAACTGGGACAAGGAATAGAAGGAGACGGACCTGCAGGCCAGGTGGAAACTGACCAGGAGTCAGATCACCTGAAAGTCCAGGCTCTATTATCTGCAAGGCTGGATTAGAGACTGAGGAATCGAGTTCTCTGCTCCTCCCACTGAGGCCTCCAAGCCTCACCAGGGAGGTGGGGGATTCACATCAAACAGGCCAAGGCCACAGAGAGCTGGTCGCCCCTCAGTGTAGTTTGGAAACCTGTGTGTACTGCGGAGTGGAAGCGGAAAACCAAGGGGAAAACGAGCACATCATGAGGGGAAACAGTTAAAGCCCCTTCAGTATCCTCCCTATTGGAAAATTCCAATTCTGGCATTTCACTTCATTTTTTTTTTTTTTTTTTGAGACAGAGTTTCACTCTTGTTGCCCAGGTTGCCCATTGCAATTCCCCTTATTGCCCAGTGTGCTGGCACCATCTTGGCTCACTGCAACCTCCACCTCCCAGGTTCAAGTGATTATCCTGCCTCAACCTCCCAAGTAGCTAGTATTACAGGCATGCACCAACACACCCAGCTAATTTTTGTATTTTTAATAGATCCAAGGGCTCACCATGTGGTCAGGCTGGTCTTGAACTCCTTACCTCAGGTGATATGCCCTCTTCAGCCTCCCAAGGTGCTGGGATTACAGGCTTGAGCCACCGCGCTGGCCTCCAGTTCGTTTTTAATACATTGAAAAATATGTCCGTCTATTTTGAGGGAGCAAGTCTGATCACAAGACAGTAGGGAGAGGTATCAAGGTGAGCCAGTGAGAATGAAACAAGTTACGCTAACTAGTACATTGCACTAACTAGTACATTGCAGAAGAAACTGTAAATGTCAGCCAGACCTCTAACACGACAAAACAAGATCAGGACAAAAAAAATCAGCAGATTTGAAGAATGTTTACATTCTTGCAACCACAAATGGAAAGTGAGCTCAGAGCCCAGTAGGAGTTTAACAAAATAAAGTTCAAAGTGGAGGCTGCTCTGTGCATATTCTACCCCCTGGTTGCCCTGGCAATGAAACATCTGCCTGACAGTAATGAAATCATATTGGGAAGAAACCCACAAGTGCAAGAGAGCGTCTGTGCCTGCAGACTTGCTGTTGATGCCGCGTCTGCCTGCAGCCACTACTGTTTTACTCACCGACAAGGTACCTAGCCGGAAACCCCAGGTACCCAGGCCTGGGAGGTCTCAGGAGCCTCACCTCCTGGAGGTCTGCTCCAGAGGCTTGGCCTCAGAGACCTGCACTCAGGAGGAGGGGTCAGAGAGAGTACAACCTGGAGTCCGATCCTTGGCTAGCTAATTAATTCTTGAGCATGTTGTGGAGATATCGTGGAGAAGGCAAAATGAGTAGGATGAGATCCCTGCCCTCGAGGGGCAGAGAAGGTAGAGGTGCGTATGCATAATTAGTTGTGATAGAAAGCCAACTTGAGAGAGCAAACAGAGTCCCACAGAAACTCTTTTCCTCTTTGTTATTCTTTTTCTTTTTTTTTTTTTGAGAGAGTCTCACTCTGTTGCCCAGACTTGAGTGCAATGGCGCGATCTCAGCTCACTGCAAACTCTGCCTCCTAGGCTCAAGTGATTCTCCTGCCTCAGCCTCCCCAGCGGCTGGGATTACAGGCATGCCCCACCACATCCGGCTAATTTTTGTATTTTTAATAGAGACCTGGTTCCACCATGTTGACCAGGCTGGTCTTGAACTCCTGACCTCAAGTGATCCACCCGCCTCAGCCCCACAAAGTACTGGGATTACAGACAGCAATCGCACCCAGCCTTCTTTTTCTTACATAGGTCATGTTTTTATGGAAAGGAACTTAACAAGGATGAAAATAAGCAAAAGGAAAAAATTAAAATCACTCCAAATCCCATCAACCAGAGAGAACCACTATTAACATGTTAACATTACCATTAAAGGCGTATCTTTTCAAACTTTTTCTTATGCAAATAGATGCACACGTTAAAATACACATTTGTTCTGTCTATATAAACATTTTTTCTGAAACAGGATTATACTATGTATAGGATTTTACCTTTTGGCATCCAAAAATACACCGTATGTTCAAGGAAAACGAATATACAACTGACCTTAAAATAATTTAGCCAACGAAGGTGGATAGATGACAGGTTGCTGTCCTTTCCCTCAGTCGAGTGAGGGGGTCCCGATGGCGACAAGCATTATGGTGAGCAGAGCCCACGCTGGGGTTGGATCCTGCTTGGGAAATGTCAAGGGCACGCAGGCTGGCTGGTAGCTGATGGACAGGATAAAGGGCAGAAGCTGTGCCGGGATCAGCCATCACTCCCGGGGTTGTCACAGCCCAGGATTCACCAGCATTTCCCAAGGACCACAGGCCCAGAGAAACAAGTTGCTCGCTGATGTCGTCAGCGTAAAGGTTAGAGCAGACGGGAGCTCGAATTTCGTTTTGATGCTAATGAGGGCCCACTGGGAAACGGAGGAGGGAGATGATCCTGTTAGAGCCAGGCGGTGGGAGATGAGTCTCACTGTGTGTGAGGCACCTGGAAGGAGGGGAGACAGGAGACTAGGAAATCAGTTCAGAGGCTCTTATCAAAGTATGAAGAGAAACATTCCCTCCTTCCACGGGAGTTACCGAATCTGGGCTCACGTCCCACCTTTCCCACTGATGAACTGGAATCAGTGTCTTCACTTTCCTGAGCCTTAACAGCTCTCCAGTAACATGGGCGTAAAAACAACCGCAACGAGGGATGAAAATGCTTTGCAACTTGACAGAAGTGGTGGTTTGACATTATGAATGTACTAAACGCCACTGGATTTTACTCTTTAAAATGGTTGAGACTGTTATGTGAATTCCTCCTTAGTTAAAAAACAGAATAACCCGTAGGGTTGTTGTGAGGATTAAGTGAACCTGGTGGGTTTGTTTGAATAGTCACTCTTTTCTTTTCTTTTTCTTTCTTTTTTTTTTTTGAGACGGAGTCTCGTGCTGTCACCCAGTCTGGAGTGCAGTGGTGCTGTCTGTGCTCACTGCAACCTCCCCCTCCTGGGTTTAAGAGATTCTCCTGCCCCATTCTCCAGAATAGCTGGGACTACAGGCATATGCCACCACGCCCAGCTAATTTTTTAATATTTTTAGTAGAGACGGAGTTTCATCATGTTGGCCAGGTTGGTTTTGAACTCCTGACCTCATGATCCACCTGCCTTGGCCTCCCAAAGCACTCGGATTACAGGTGTAAGCCACTATGACTAGACCTACCTTTTTTTTTTTCTGAGACAAGCTCTAGCTGTGTTGCCCAGGCTGGAGTACAGCAACACCATCTAGGCTCACTGCAACCTCTGCCTCCTGGGTTCTAGTGATTCTCCTGCCTCAGCCTCCCAAATAGCTGGGATTACAGATGCACACCACCGTGCCTGGCTAATCTTTGTATGTTTAGCAGAGATGGGGTTTCACCTTGTTGGCCAGGTTGGTCTCTAATTCCTGACCTCACGTGATCAGTCCGCCTTGGCCTCCCAAATTTCTGGGATTACAGGTGTGAGCCAGTGCAACCAGTCTGAATAATCACTCTTATGTGAGCAAACATGAAACTACCTTACCATCTGGCTGGCCACAGCCTCATCCCAGTGCTGGTGAGGAGAGGGAGGGCCAGGTCTCTACCCGCTTCAGTCAGGAGTCCGCTGAAGAGGCAGTATCCCCATGGGTGTTGTACAAAGTGCCCTAGAGCAGCATTCAACCTGGCTCCCACCATGGAGGACACCAGAGGGGGCAGCTTACATCTGTGCTGGTGTTGGTGTGGGCAGGGGGATTGATTAGCCATCCCTTCCTCCAGAGCTCCTTCAGGGCTGGCTCAGCCAAGTGACCACCCAGGCTGCCTGAAGGTTCTTGCCTTCCCAGACCCCCAGCACCCAGCTCATGCCTTTGCTTTCTTTCGAGGGTCCCTTCCCATATCCTCCCTGTTGTTGGTCTTCCAGCTGCGGAGGGAGAAGCTGTTCTGCTGAATTCCAATCCAGAACTTGCTTTCTCACTCACCGCTAGTTAAGAGATGCAGGTAAATCTCCTCCCATTCTGGCCTCAAGCTCAATATGTCATTCATTCCAGGCTGACATTTTCTTTCACTGGCTCAATGAGGACAGATGACATCTGTCATTGATGGCTCCTCCCTCATCTGTCCCTGGTCTGCCATGGTTATTACATGATGAACTCTAGGAAAATAGTCTTTGAGGAAAAATGGATGGCAGAGAGAGAAGAAAAAGAGACCTTCTTAACATTTGTCCCCAAGCCAGGCCCTGTCAGGTAAAAGCACACCCAGCAGCTCCTTGCTTGCCAGCACTTCAGACCTCTGGCTGTTCTCGGGGGAGCTGTTGCAGGAAGACAGTTGTAAAAACATTAGGGCTTTTCAGACTGCAGTGGAAAAGGAAAAGGCCAAGAGGCCTGTCTCAAGCCCCCTGCCCTCCTCCTAGTGAAAGCTAAACGTGCCCGTGATGCTGAAATGGCACCGTGGAAGAAATGGCAGTGACGTTGCCTTCCTCGTTTCTGTGTGAAGAGCTTCTATTCACACTTTTGGGAAGTTTTGCCCATCCCCCACAAGGAGATGATAGGACTCCCTCCTTTGTGCTCTTCAAGGGGTTGTGCCAAGGCTCCATGCAATGTCAGGTGTGGGCAGGCAGAATGCTTAGCACAGGGCCCTTCCTCTCTCCCCTGTGGAAACATTCCCATGAGGGTCACTGGACATTGTGTGGGCATGTGAGCTGACACTCTAAGCTATGAAACACCATGTTAAAAATAATACTTATCTGGCTGTGTGTAGTCAGTTGCTTGTACCTATACTGAGCTGTGAGCTCTTTGAAAACGAGGATACTTTATTTAAAAAAAAAAAAAAAAGAGGCCGGACACAGTGGCTCATGCCTGGAATCCCAATACTTTGGGAGGCCGAGGCAGGCAGATCACAAGGTCAACAGATCAAGACCATCCTGGCCAACATGGTGAAACCCCGTCTCTACTGAAAATACAAAAATTGGCCGGGTTTGGTCATGGGTGCCTGTAGTCCCAGCTACAGGAGGCTGAGGCAGAATCGCTTGAACCGGGGAGGCAGAGGTTGCAGTGAGCCGAGATGACACCACTGCACTCCAGCCTGAGCGACAAGAGCAAAACTCCATCTAAAAAAAAAAAACGGAGTATCAACATCTAGCACAATGCTGGGCACAAAGGATGAACTGATGGACTCGGAAGGCCAGGGAGACTGTCCTCATGCAGACCCACGCCTGGGCCGGAGGGCTGGCACCTGGCTCTTTAGAGCAGCCCTGGCTAGCTTTGCCGGAGTCAAGGCCCCTGGCTGGCTGCTCGTCTTCCCTTGGAGATGACTGTCGGCCTGCTTGCCTTGGAGATGACTGTCGTCCTGCTTGCCTTGGAGATGACTGTCGGCCTGCTTGCCTTGGCCTGCTCCCAGCAGCTCTTACTACCAACTCTACAGACTCCTGGGTGGCATTCACCCAGGAGTGCTCACTCAGTGTTCAAGCATGACCTGTTTCCTCAGGTCCTCCTACCACCCACTACTAGCCTCTTGAACTGGATTAGTCCTTGCTTTCCCAACAAGGACCACTGTATGACTGACCCACAGTATCTTAGCAAGCCAAGCTTTGGGCCAAATGTGTGGCCCAAAGCTCAATCTATGGATATCACATTATGGAGACCATTAATGCTATGGACTGCTGGGCAAGCAATGAGAGAGAGAATGTGAGTAGACTTGGGTTCGAATCCTGGCTCTGCCACTAACGAGCTGTGTGACCCTTACCAGTTGCTGAACTTAGAATCTCAGTTTTCTCATCTGTATATGGGGCTTAAAAAGAAAAAACCCAAACCCTATCTCATAGGGTTACTGTGAAGAGTGAATACTATAGTGCATATTAAGCCTCTGCCTTGTACCCAACACTTGGCAGATTCTCAGTAAGTGTTTCTTCCTTCCCTTCTTTTTTTTCCACCAAGAACTCTCCCAAGTCTAAAAGTCCCTGAGCCTTTGAAACATATGTTCCCTTGTCAAACTGTAACTTGGGAAGGTCAACAAGCTGCTAGGAAGTTTATCTTTCCCAGAGCAGCAAGGATCCCAGGTGACAGAAGCAGCCTCTGTGTCCCATATTACCCTGGAAAAGATCTCTCATTCCCAGTCCAAAGTCCGACTCTGAAGAGAGGGTGTTGTAGGCAATCAGAGTTCATAAATCACACTCGACTAAGTAGATGAAAGCAGGTTCAGTCTGCAGAGACGCTGTGAGCAAACAGAAAGCCCAGAGAGGCCTGGGAATGGCCCCTGGGGCTCAGAGAGAGAGCAGTGACCTGAGAGTAGATGTGTCTGTGAACAACTGGGAGCAAATGGCTTGGCCAGGAATCCTCTGCACTGGGTCAGGGAGGAGCCTGCAGCCTCCCACGCAGACCCCCATGGAAACAGATGGGCAGAACTGAGGGCAGCATTAGCCCTGGCCCTCTTCTTCAGGCAGGTGAAATGGGTCCATTTTGGAGATGCCAAAATGAACAGAAAGAGGAGGATGAGGCAATAGCGTCATCTTCTGTTCATCCTGAGAGGTTCTCGGAGCAAGCAAGGTCCCAGGACCAGCTGCAACATCTTGATTTCTTCTTCTTCTTTTTTTTTTGAGATGGAGTTTTGCTCTGGTGAGTTACCCAGGCTGGAATGCAATGGCGCTATCTCGGCTCACCGCAACGTCCGCCTCCTGGGTTCAAGCAATTCTCCTGCCTCAGCCTCCCAAGTAGCTGGGACTACAGGCACACGCCACCATGCCCAGCTAATTTTTGTATTTTTAGTAGAGACAGGGTTTCACCATATTGACCAGGATGGTCTCGATCTCTTGACCTCGTGATCCACCCGCCTCGGCCTCCCAAAGTGCTGGGATTATAGGCGTGAGCCACCGCACCCGGCCCAACATCTTGATTTCTGAGTGTTTATTTAACATGTTGTTCAGAATGGTTTTTTTATGCCTCGTATCACCTGGCTGCATCTACATTAAGCTAGGAACTTAAAGACTTAAAGATAATATTTCCTTTACAAACTCGATGAGAAACACATCTCTGTGTAATCTGGACATGCCAAGTGAACCCCCAGTGAAAGAAACCACTCTCATTGCAATATAACCTCAGTGTTTTGTCACCCTACCCCTTTCCCTGTTCCTTCTGGGTAAATCTCTTAAGCACACACTAGCAACGGGCAAATATTTGTTGAGTGTCAAATAAGTGGATGGGCTCAATTTGACTTTAAAATGCCCTGCTGTTGTGCAATACAAAGAACCAAATTTGTGATCAGCCCTTTAGCCTGCGGAGCTGATGGGACTACCCGCAGCACCCACGTGGATAACACATAAAAATCTTGGGGAACTGGACACTGAGGGGACGGTACGAGGCCAAGTTGGCCAGCACAGGTCACGTGGGGGTGTCCTGAATTTGCAGGGATGGCTATAGCCCTCTGTCCCTGATAAAGTCCCTAACTCCAGTAAAGTTGAGAAGAAGTGGACACTGAACACACGTCCACTTCCCTTTTTATTATTATTATTTTTTTTGAGATGGAGTCTCCCTCTGCTGCCCACGCCGGAGTACAATGGCACGATCTCCTCTGCTCACTGCAACCTCCGCCTCCCAGGTTCAAGCGATTCTTCTGCTGCAGCCTCCCCAGTAGCTAGAACTACAGGCGGGTGTCATCACCCTCAGCTAATATTTGTATTTTTAGTAGACATGGGTTTTCACCATGTTGGCCAGGCTGGTCTCGAACTCCTGACCTCAGGTAATCCACCCGCCTTGGCTTCCCTAAGTGTTGGGATTACAGGTGTGAGCCACTGCACCCAGCCTACTTCCCCACCTTCTAAACCACCTGGGGGCTTGTCCTTGCTGACCAGTCACTTGGTCGCATGGCCTCTGCAATGCAGAGCAAACTGGAACCAGAGCACCAAAAATGTCCTGCCAGTTTGCCTCCTGGGGTGTGAATGTACATATTGCCTTTCCAGTTCCAGCCCCACGGACTTAACTGATTCAAGCCCTCAGCGTTTTCCTTAACATCGGATATCTCAATAGTGTCCTGGGCCTCCCCGACCCTGATCCTGCTCATCTCTGCTCATCCTTTCCACTTTCTACATCTAGGTCATCGTGTCCCTGCCCGCTCCTGCCTACAGGATGAAGTCCCAACGCCTTGGCGGGGCATTCAAGGTCCTTTGCAATTTAGCCACAACTTACACATCTGTCTTTACCGCCCACATCCAGTGCCTCAGCCACACCTGCCTCCTGCCTGCTAGCACCCTGCTCTTTCATACTTACTGGCCACTGACTGAAAGACCCTTCTTCCTCCTGTTATCTGCTTGGAGGATTGTGGCTGCTCTTTCCAGAACCTGCTCAAATGCTGCTTTCCGTGAAACGGTCTACTATTCCCTGGTAGCTTAGACGGGGCCCTGGTGTTCGCTTAGGCTGGAATACAGTGGCTATTCACAGGTGTGATCGTAGCTCACTGCAGCCTAGAACTTCTAATTGCAAGTAATCCTCCTGCCTCAGCCTCCTGAGTAGCTGTGTCTCCAGGCGCTAGAAAGGGAATGCTTTCTTACGTCTACTCAGCTTGCAATTAATTCCCTTTCCTCCCCCACAATTTCCCAGTCTCCTTCAGCACTTGGCTCCACTATCACCTTTAAATTATTTAAAAATTATTTTTGACATAATTTCAGACTTGCAAGAAAGTTACAGGAACAGCACAAAGAACTCCTGCTGTCTGTCTTTCACCCTGATACCCTACATATTGTTTGCGACATTTATCTTAACTTTCCATCCACCCAACTACCTGCCTATCTAGTTGTTTGTTTGTTTGTTTTTTTTTTTTTTTTGAGACAGGGTCTCACTCGATTGCCCAGGCTGGAGTGCAGTGGTGCTATCTCAGCTTACTGCAACCTTGGCATCCTGGGTTCAAACAATTCTCCCATCTCAGCCTCTGAAGTAGATGGGATTACAGGTATGTGTCATCATGCCTGGCTAATTTTTCTATTTTTGGTAGAGATGTGGTTCTGCCATATTGGCCAGGCTGGTCTTGAACTCCTGACTTCAGGTAATCTGCTTGCCTCTGCTTCCCAAAGTGCTGGGATTACAGGCATGAACCACCAAGCTAGACCCTACCTATCTTTCTAGGTACTGTATCTAGAATCATAATTTTACTTTTTCTGAACTGCTTGTGAGTTACTTTACAATTACTCCCCTCTAGTCCTTTACTGTATAAACCAAGGACACTCTCTTAGGTAAGTATAGATAATAATCAAAATGAGGAAATTAACTTTGGTACCAACTATTTTATCTAGTCCACAGATCTTATTCCGATTTCACAAACTGTCCCAACAAAGTCCTTTTTGTTTTCCTTTTCAGAGATAAGACCTTGCTCTGTTACCCACACTGGAATAAAGTGGCCCAATCATACCTCACCGCAGCCTCAAACTCCTGGCCTCGAGTGATCCTCCGACTTCAGCCTCCAAAAGTGCTGGGTTTTCAGGTGGGAGCCACTGTGCCTGGCCTCAGCGAAGTGCTTCAGAGCAAAAGAAAGCCCCAGATTATACACCACGTTTAGATGTCGCGTCACTTAAGTATCCTTTAATCTAGAACAGTTTCTTCGTCTTTCTTTTTTGTTTTTCATGGCGACCACATTGCTCAAGTGTCTACGCCAGTTGTTTTGTAGAAAGCTCCTCATTTTGGGCTTGTTTGGTATTTCCTTTCGATGAGTTCTTGTTGCAGTAACACGGCAGAACTATCCCAGAGGTAATGCTCCGTTCATCCCAGCATGTCATATCAGGAGGTACGTGATGTCAACTTGGGCCATGTGGCTGATCTGTGGATGTCTGAGTCCGCCCTGGCCCGCGAAGCCATTCTCAAGGCTGGAGAGGGACTCGGCTTGATTCATCCCTGGCATCGCAGTACCTGAGTATTTACAATGGAGGGAAGCGAGGAATAAACACCTATGGAACCCCTCCCAAAATGCCCGGCTCTGTGGTTGCTTCTCATTTAAGATATAATTTATCCTCATTTTACAGGTGTACTCAGTGAAGAGGAATAATTGGCCGAACAGCATTTGACTGGTAACTTGAAGATCCAGACTCAAATTCAGGTCTCTCTGCCACTTCCCATAACACTAATGCCTTGAAATGAATACACCTAGTCAACACCATGCATTACTTTCAATGAATATTTTTTAAAAATTAAACAGAAAAATTGGCTGGGTGAGGTGGCTCATGCCTGTAATCCTAGCACTTTGGGAGGCCGAGGCGGGCGGATCATGAGGTCAGGGGATTGAGACCATCCTGGCTAACACGGTGAAACCTCGTCTCTACTAAAATTGCAAAAAACTAGCCGGGCATGGTGGCATGCGCCTGTAATCCCAGCTACTCAGGAGGCCGAGGCAGGAGAATCGTTTGAACCAGGGAGGCGGAGGTTGCAATGAGCTGAGAGCGTGCTACTGCACTCCAGCCTGGTAACAGAGAGAGACTCCATCTCAAAAAACAAACAAACAAAAAACAATTAAACGGAAAAATCTAACACCAAGATGACCAAGGAACTTAACACCATTGCATATCAGCGAGGATTCATGTTTTTCTTCCTTTTTATTCCTGAATCCCTTCAACAAATATTTATGGTGGGCCTACTGTGTGCCAGATGGCGTTACAGCTAATAGGGACATAAGAGTGAACAAGGAGCTTACATTCTAAATACCAGAAAACCCAACTAAGGTCACTTCAACGAGAAAAAGAATAGCATTAGAGTAGCTCCAGGGTTGGTGAACACAGTGACTCAGAGGTTTCATGGCTAAGGGTTGGGTTCTCTGAGACTCTTTTAGTCTTCTCTTTTAGGCAACGAGGTGTTTGCTTTAGTTTTAAGCGAGACACTCGCAAAGGAAACACAGGGGATGTTCCTGTCGTTGTCCCTTTATACGAGCAAAGAAAGTCTTGCTAGAATCCTCCCAGCTGACTTCCCTTCCACCTCATTAGCCAGAACTATGTCGACCCATGCCTAAATCCACACTTGGCAAGAGGCTTGAGCCAGCACGCCTGGCTTAGGCACTGTGGACTTGCCCCCAGCCCACTCCAGACCACCTCTGAGCTCAGCCTTCTCCAAAGCCTTTGTCATAAAAAGAGCAGGCGAATGCACAAAATTGCAACTTTAAGAAGGAAAGAGGGAAAAGGTTGTTAAATAGGCTACTGACAGTATTTTTCAAACCTCCCCTCTACTGGTTTACCAAATATTGAGACTCTGTGGCTTCTTAGAAACCCTTGTTTATACAAATAAAAATTTCCCTCACTGCTATTCGTTGTATTGAGTTCTGCTTCTTTTGACTTACCGTTAAGTCACACAATGTCTTTCTCTATATATTCCTCTATCTTGTCCCATTCCAAATAAGGTCGCCTTTCCATGAGTATACAGAATCTTAACCAGGAGAAGTTTAAAAAATATTTAATAACTAGTACTTTGATCACTAGTTATTAAATAACTAGTTTAATAACAAAGTACTAGTTTAATAACAGTTCATTGATCACTGCTTCAGGTGGGATCCTGGAGGCCCCTGGGCCAGGCATTAACTGTTTAGTTGCTGGATCGCGGGAGGTTCAGGAGGATCCCAGTAGAGGGGCAGGGGCAGCTTGGAGGATATTCCAGCCCTACTATTTACCAGCTGGTATGAAAGTATTTAACAACTAGTATAACAGTCCCTACGTCACAGGCTGGACGTCAGCGCGAATCTGCATGATGGCCGTTTCCTGTGTGAGTGTAATGACCACAGCTCAATTTTCCCAGCTTCTGCCTCACCGTCAGGCAACTGGGCTGCCTCTGGTTTTAACTGCAATATCAAGCTCACTTCTACACAACTCTATATGTGCTTTTGTTATTTGTATTATGTACTTATAAATATGTATTTCATATTTTGTTTCCTTGGAACATATTCCCCAAAGTGGTATTTCAAGGTCAAAGGGTCTGATCAATTCTATGATTTGACATGGTGATTTAAAAAAGCATTTAACCATAGGTTCAGAGACATCCTTGCCCATTTTTTCACAGACTCCTGCTGCTGGAGAGCTGGCAGGCAGCACAGTATGGTGGAAGGAGGATGGGTGCTGGAGTAAGGGGAGTTGGGCTCAGGTCTGGGCAGTGATTCTGTACTAGAAGTTGGGGACCTGGCAGTGTCTTTGCCTCTGTGAAGCTTGGTTTCCCCAACTGTGAAATGTGAAATGGGGGAAGTGACATTTCTCCCAGCACCAGGCACAGCAGGCATCAGTTGCCCATATCTGTTCCTGATCGTGGCCTGAGACCCTGGCATCCTTGTCACACCCTCACTCTGGCCCACCTTTGTGGAGGGTAGGCTGAGTAACTTGACTTGAACTTGACTTGTCCAAGTGTCAAGGAAGGTGTGGTTTCTGTACCATCAGGAGGTGTGTAGACTGCCATCTCCTGGTGCAAAGTGTTAGTGTCCAGATGACTTGGGGATCAAGCTGCTCTCCCTTGTGTCCGCCTGAAGATCTGCCCCCACAGGGGAAGCTGCAAGAGAAGGAGGGGGAGGTTCTCCCAACAGAGTCTGGCTCTAGGGTCTGGCACTTTAAGGTGATGTCCTCCTCCTACAGTGACACTGGGAGAGAGGAAGATGCTGGGTTTTGAAAGGCTGCTTGTAAATGATGGTGTTTTGGAGACTGTGGAAGCGATGGCAAAATGTATCTTTGCAAAAACAGGAGGTTCAGAGAGGCTGAGAGCAGTGGTCAATCAGTCCACAAATATTTACAGAGCACCTCCCAAGTGGCAGACACATGCTCTGGCAAACGCTGTGGAATAAGACAGGCGGGGTTCCTGCTCTCATTGTCTAGTGGGAAACTTTGGTGATAAGATTAATTCTTATTTAAGTGCTATGCTTTCTTTTATTTATTTAGTGGCAGATAAACAGAAAAGTAAAAGTAATTTAAACCATAATATTTTGCCTAACACTACAGCTGTTTTTATTTCAATACCTTCCAGCCCTTGCAGATGTGTATGCACACTTTTAACAGAGCTATAATCATAATGCATATGTGATCCTGAAGTTTGATGTATTTGATAATAAACATCTCTACATTGCTATCGATCTTTATAATTATCCTTATCGCTGTACAAGAGGCAAATGTGTGGCTGTATCAAAATCTATATAGCAATTTTCTCAAGTTTAGACTTTTTTTTTTTGCTATAATAGATATTGCTGATGTTGACTTCTTTATGCAGATTTCTTTGTTTTTTGAGATGGTGTCTCGCTCTATTACCCAGGCTGGAGTGCAGTGGTGCGATCTTGGCTCACTGCAACCTCTGTCTCCCGGTTTCAAGTGATTCTCCTGCCTCAGCCTCCTGAGTAGCTGGGATTACAAGAGCCTGCCATCATGTGCAGCTAATTTTTGTATTTTTAGTAGAGATGGGGTTTCACCATGTTGGCCAGGCTGGTCTTGAACTCCTGAGCTCAGGTGATTACTTGCTTTGGATTCCCAAAGTTCTGGGGTTACAGGCGTGAGCTACTGTACTGGCTTCTTTATGCAGATTTTTATTGCATTACTTCCGAATAACCATGGATATAGTTCTTCCTGTGTGTTTCCATATTACTTCCCAGAGGAACTATTACTAATTTCCAATGCCACCAATATTGTATCAGGAAATCAATTTTGCTTCAACATCAGGTACATTGAATATTGTTGCTTTACGGCATTTTTGAAAATATTTTAAAATAGAGTCCTAAATTTGCCTTGTGCAACATATCTTTGGATGCCAGCAGCAGGCAGTTTCTGTTTTTTTTTTGGCACACATGCTATTTATAATTGCTCTTGTGTGAATGTCTGTTTATATTGTGGTTAAAAATTTGAATTAGTCCCTTGTTTGATGGCTTTTCTTAAAAGAAAGAAAAGCAATAGAAGATTGCATTATTGTAGCCCAGAGGATCAGAATGGTACATACGGTGTTACTCACTGGGTTAATAACTCTCTCTCTGGAATCTTCCCAAGAAAGCTCAGCTGTTCCAACATCTAGAGGGCAAGTCTCTGCTGCTGCCCACAACTGCTAGGCGAGAAAAGTGATTCTGTAACACCCTCGGTGTGCTTGACTCAGTTATGGAAATGGCCTTAATTCTCAGTGTTTATGAAGAAGAATTGGACACCAGCCCAGGTTACAATAATGCAAATGAAAAGTATGCGACTGGAGAGTTAACTTGTTTCCCAGTGACTCAGAAAAATGCGTGGCATCCTTGAGTGTCTCAGCTGGGCAAAGGCCTCTTCAGATATGGCCCAAAGCAGAGAAGTGAACTGGCTTGCTGAAGCTCACACAGCAAGCCAGAGGACGGCTAAACCCCCAGCTGGCATCCAAGTTAAATGAGCCTGGGATTCTCTCCTTCCGGCCTTCCTCTCCTCTCCGTGTCTTCTTCTCCCACTCATGGACCGCCTCCTCCCAGCCTACATAATTACCATAGCACGCTCTGGGAGTGCCTTCTGCACTGGGAGTAGGTTTCCTTTTCCTGCATACCCTCCAACAAGACCTCTGAGCCTTTCTCTCTGGGAATTCAAAGTACTGTGCCACACGGTGTCCTATGCAGTAGCTAAAATATTTTGCCAGCACACAAGACCTTCTCAAAAAAGACTGCAGATGTTAGAAGCTGGGCCTGTGTGAGGGTGGGAGATCTTGACTTTGCCAGAAAGGCTTTTTGATTTAAAACCTCACCAGGCACAGTGGCTCACTCTGTATTCCCAGCACTTTGGGGGGCTGAGGTGGGTGGATCAACTGAGGTCAGGAGTTCGAGACCAGCCTGACCAACCTGGTGAAACCCCGTCTCTACTAAAAACACAAAATTAGCCAGGCATGGTGGTGCATGCTTGTAATCCCAGCTACTTGGGAGGCTGAGGCAGAAAAATTGCTTGAACCTGGGAGGTAGAGTTTGCAGTAAGCCGAGATCACACCATTGCACTCCAGCCTGGGCAACAAGAGCAAAACTCCATCTAAACAAACAAACAAACAAACAAACAAAAAAACACCTCATTACTATTTTCTGTGATGATTAGATGGAGAAAAGAACTAACATTTACTGTGTAGTAGGCACTACCTCCCTTAATTTCCTAAAAACACCTATGAAGTCAGAGTTTTGGAAATGGAGGTTCAAAGAGGTTAGGGAACTTGATCAGCTCCCACAGCTATGATGTTGCTAATCCACTGGCTCTGGAAGGATCGGTCAGGATCACCTGGCAGGGAGGGGCTTTTTCAGACTGGTACTCACATACGTTTCCCAGTGAGAGCAGCTGCAGCCTATGGTGCTCCAGGCAGGACATCACCCCGCAGACATCCTGGTCTGGACAAGGGTCAACAAACGGATGAGGTATGGCAGGAGCTAGAAATCCACAGGGAGGGTTTGTGATAAAGCCAAAGAAACTAGCATCTGGAAAGTTCCTTCGGGAAGAAAAAAAGAGAAGAATCCTAAAGATTGAGACAAGGGGAGTGGAACTCAAGGCCAGAGAAGACAGAGGCTTGGTGGGTGGGAGGGTGCAAGGGGGCAGGGCCCAGGACAGGCTGACCTATTCCCAGGAAGGATGCGGGGCTTGGGAGGATGTGACAGGGCTTGGGACAGGGAGGGGCACCCAGGCAGAATATCAGTCTACCACACTTGGAACAGGCAGGGTGCAGCTGAGCTGGAAGGAGCACTTGACCCGGAGATTTAAGACCCAGTTCTGGCTGTGTAGCCTCAAATCAAGTCACATCAGCTGTCTGTGACTTGGTTTCTTTCTTATTAAACATAGGCATAAAAATAATCTCTGCTGCCTCTCAGTGCGATTATGGGAATTGACTGAGTTAACTCATGTAAAAGTGTTTTATAAACTGTGAAACACCATACAAATGTCACAGAAGGATTATTAGACAGAGCAGTAAGTTCTAATTCATTATTATTCAGAATTCCAGCAACTCAGCTTATTCTTGGCTGCGTTTTATTGATAAGGCAGCATCTGATGCCCATTGAGATTCTGCTCTTTAAAGCCTGGCACAGAACGAGGCCTCTGTGTTAGACCCCTCCCCACCCCAGCTCCTTTGTCCTGATGTTCTTACACCCTCAGTCCAGCTAGGATAGATCTCAGCTCCATAGAAAATTCTCTCCATATAGGGTCTGACTGCCCTTGAAAAAAACCTCTCATTCTCTCTCTCTCTTTTTTTTTTTTTTTGAGACTGAGTTTCGCTCTTGTTACCCAGGCTGGAGTGCAATGGCACGATCTCTGCTCACTGCAACCTCCGCCTCCTGGGTTCAGGCAATTCTCCTCCCTCAGCCTCTTGAGTAGCTGGGATTACAGGCACACGCCACCATGCCCAGCTAAGTTTTTGTATTTTTAGTAGAGACGGGGTTTCACCATGTTGACCAGGATGGTCTTGATCTCTTGACCTCGTGATCCACCTGCCTCGGCCTCCCAAAGTGCTGGAATTACAGGCTTGAGCCACCGTGCCCGGCCAACTCTCATTCTTAACAAATGCTTTTGGTGAAAACTTCATTCATACAAGAATATATATATATACACACACAATGTGTAAGTACAGGTTAAGGAATAACAATTGAACAAACCATACACTAAACTTTAGAAAAAAATACTATCAGTGCCTGCAAAGCTCCTATTGTCCTTCCCTCATACATTCTCTTCACTCTTCTATTCTTGGTTTTGCATTAATCTTTCTCTTGCTTTTTAGTTTTTTGAGACAGGGTCTCACTCTGTCACCCAGGCTGGAGTGCAGTGGTGTGATCGTGGCTCACTGCACCCTCAATCTCCCAGCTCAACTGATCCTCCCACCTTAGCCTCCCTGGTGGCTGGGACCACAGGCACATTCCACCATACCTGGCCACTTTTTTATTTTTATTTTTAAAGATGCAGTTTCACTATGTTACCCAGGCAGGTCCCAAACTCCTGGGCTCAAGCAATTCTGCCTCAGCCTCTCAAAGTGCTGGGATTACAGGCATCAGCCACTGAGTTCAGCTTCTCTTACTTTTTAGGAAAACCTTCACCTTATATATATTATTCCTAGTTTTTCTTGTCTCTTAACTTTTATCCGGGGATCCTACTGTAAGTATACTTTTATATCTTGCTTTTTGCATCTGTGGTCTCCCTGTGTTGGTGGATGCAGCTGTAGTTCATTCATTTTCACAGCTATATAGTATTCCATTGTGGGAATATGTTAAAATGTATTCTTTCTACAGCAAATGGACATTTGAGTTGTTTCTGATTTGGGACTGTTTTAAACCATGCTTGTTTAGGTCTCCTGTTGCCTATGTATGACAGTTAATGTTTATCTAGAGATGGAATTACTGAGTCATAAGGTATGCAAGTCTAATTTTATCAGATAAGGCCAAACTATTCCAAGTGGTTGTACCAATCAACTCTCCCACCAACCGTGTATGGGAAATCTTTGTTCTGCGTCCCTGCCCCTGCTTGATATTGCCTGTGTTTTAAATTCCTGCCAGCCTGGTGGCTGTGGAATTGTATCTAATTTTCATTTTAGTTTGCATTTCCCTTATTACTAAGCAGGCTGAGCATTTTTTTTATATGTTGGTGGTCTTTTTGTATTTCTTCATCCCTGAAATGCCTGTTCATGTCTTTTCCCCATTGAAAAAACTAAACTGCTCATTTTTATTGATTTGTGGAAGTTTTCAAAATAGATTCTGGACAGGACTTCTTTGCCTGCTGTATGCGTTACAGTGATCCAGTCCAGTCTCTGGCCCAGCTTCTCACTCTCTGTGTTACGTTTTTTATGACTAGACGTTCTTAATTTGAGTGTGGTTGCCCTTCCTCTTTTCCTTGCACTTTTGGTGTCTTGTTTAAAAAGTGATATATTTTTTTTAACCTGAGGCCCTAAAGACAATCTGGATTTTCTTCTAAAAGTTTCAACATTCCAAATGTCTTTCTTGGGACTGCTCTGCCTGCTGAGCTCCTGAATCTTTCCACAAAATGCTTCTGCAAGCCAGAGGCTGTTTCTATTCTAGTGGGCCTCCTCTCTGCTCAGAGGGCCCCGAGTTCTGCCAAGTGCTCAGAGAAAGGCTCCATTCAGGAGGCAGGCGGCTCTCCACGGCCGCCTGTGTCCCGCGTTCTATGCCGGCTGCGGGTCCCTAGGAGGCGCCTTTGCTCCAGGCCTGCAGCTCCCTCCGGAGACTTCTGCGCCCGGCTCCTGCCCAGGGTGCCCTTCCCTCCTACAGGCGGCGCGGGGGCGGCATCTCCTCTGCGTGGAGCCAGGATCTCTGCTTGGGGCCACCGCCCTTGGGCCTCGCTAGCCTCGTCCTGTCCCTGATCGCTGGGGCTGGGCCTCTTCCCATTCCTGCTCCCCTAGTCCTGCTTTCAAATCTACCCTCCCGCCTCCTGCTTGGACGCCTTTCTTGGAATCCTCTTGATTCCTTCGTTCTTGTCTTTTAGGGAGGCCCCACAGCAGCATCTTTTATGGGTCAGATGCTGCTGGGGTTTCAACCTACCCCAAAAGGTTGCAGCATGTAACTGAGGAAACTGCAGGCTTCCCAAAGGATCAGACACCAGGGAGCCACAAAAGGTACAAAACCCGAAAGGGGCACCGCGTGTTTGAATGTTAGAGTTTGCCTGACCTTTTCAGCTCTACCGGTTAATGGCTGGCTCCACAGTTTCCTCTTTCCTCAGTTTTCTTATCTGGAAGACCGAGTTGATAATCATTGCCTTGCCATTTTTGTAAGGATAAAATAAGATAACTTGGGGAAGCTTCATGGTGCCTGGCACATAATAGGAACCCACAAATATTAGTTTCCCTTTGTCTTAGCTTGAGACCCCAGAACGCACAGCCAGAGGCTGAGCTTAGGCACAAATGCTTCCTTTTCTGGCTTCATCTCAGGGAAGCAAGAGAGGTGGAAAAAGAGAAATGAGGGAGGCAGCAGGAAGCACAGATCCAGACTGACATGGAGCGGGCAGAGCAAGTCAGGGGCCATGCGGGGTTTCTCTGGAGAAGCCGCATGGAGACCCTGGAGGAGAGGAGAGCACTCTACCTGCCTGTGCCTGCCCACCTCCTATCTCTCATTAGTCAAAGTTTCCATATGGGAGGTTGAGTCCCTTGCATTCTAGGCTGTTTCACTTGGAACCCTTCTGAAGAGACTCCTGGGGAAGCCTCAGGTGGGGGTGCCTGAGAGACTGCAGCTCCTGTTGTAGTGGAAGGGATGGGAGCCACGCCACATGCTGACCCTTGTCCTTGGGGGAACCTGAGACAGCTAGTGGTATTAGCAGATGTGGTGATGGTGGTGGCTGTTAGGGCTCCATGACAGGGACAGTGTGAGTTACCAATACACTCTGGCCAAGAAGCAGGGTGAGAGGCCCACGTACGAGATGGGAGATGTAGGTGTGCTGAGTGGATCTGTGGCGTGTGTAGACTGCATTTGGTACACCTGTCACTTTTCCTGTGTTCATGTGAGCACTGCTTCCCAGGACATTGAACACCAGGCACATTCACATTCATCGAATACCAATAGGGGTACAGGGATGAATGAAGCAGGCATCAGGTCTGTGGTTTCATGCACTAAACAAATACTATATTTCAGAAGGATGGGGTGTTTTTGCTCACATTGTTGTCCAGTGCAGGTCAGAGATTCTCCTGCGTGGCTCTCCTCCATGCAGTGACTCAGGGATCCTGGCTGCCTTCGTCTTCTGAAACCATCGCCTATACCTTCCCGGTCACTGTGAAAGGAGCAGAGAGGATTGAAGGCTCGCATGAGAGCTTTAAGAGCCACATGATTTCTGCCTACATTTTCTTTGTCGGAATTCAAGTTCAAACCCAATGTAATAGCTAAGGAGTCCAGGAAAAGTAGTTTTCCTGTATTTCTAGGAGGAGGAAACAGCATAGGAAAACACAGCATTACCTCTACCACAGAATAAAGAGAAGTTAAGGTATGACCTCTATGTCAGAGGACCTCAGAATCTAGCTAGGAAGAAAGAGCAACTCAAAGGAAAAGTTGAGTAACAACACATGATTGCAAATGCTGTGTCAACAGTATTCTGAAATTAGCAATAATAAAAAAAATAGGCTGGGCACAGTGGCTCATGCCTGTAATCTCAGCACTTTAGGAGGCTGAGGCAGGAGGATTTCTCGAGTCCAGGAGTTTGAGACCAGCCTGGACAACATGGTGAAAACATATCTCTACTAAAAATACAAAATTAGCAGGGCCTGGTGGTACACACCTGTAATTCCAGCTACTTAGGAGGCTAAAGCACAAGAATCACTTGAACCCGGGAGGTGGAGGTTGCTGTGAGCCAAGATTGCACCACTGCACTCCAGCCTGGGTGACAGACTAAGACTCCATCTCCAAAAAAAAAAAAAAAAAATACTATAAGAGTTCAAAAGGACCAAGAATGGACCAAAATAGTTAGATCAGCGTTTATGGAGAAGGTAGGACTTGAATTGGGTTTTGAAGGACTGGTAAGATTTAACCACAGAACAGGAACTATCCTGCAGGTGGGGGGAGCAGCATAAAGCAATGGTCACACTGGAGAAGGCCGGAAGAGTTAACCCCGGTAGAGCACAAGCACTAAGGAGTCTCTTGACTGCTGGCCAAGGAAGAGGTTTCTATGGAAGGACTGGGGTGGAGTAAGGGAGGGCTGGACAACAGACAGAGAGGCTTCCCAGCAATTTGCCTCCCTGTCCCTGCTTAAGTATTTTGGTGTCTTAGCAACCAGAATGGCTTCATCAGTGCTTGTAGGCTGAACATCTGCCCTGCGTTAAAGACTTATGATGGCTGAGAATGGAAAGACAGGTTGGAACTAAATTGTGATGGATTTCGAGTATCAGCATGTTTGGGACTTCCAAAACAGAGATGAACATCATTTATTTTCGCAGACCAAGCTTACAGACACCTCCTCCCAATAATAGCCAATAGTAAACACATGGTTACACAGAAACAAACGACAGTGTGCTCCTGTGGTAGGATACTCTGTAATCATAATCATTAAACTCCAACTTTCGAAGACTTTTAATGATAGAATAAGTGAAAAAATAGAAAACTATAGAGCATAAAATCAATGTAGCAATGAAGAAATATTAAAATATCAAGACTAAAAGAATAAACATCTAACTGGAAATGTGGTTACTTTTTAATTTTTAAATTGACAAAAATTGTATGTATCAGTTACAACATGTTGTTTTATGTATAATTATTTTAAAAAATAAATATGCATAATTATGTTATTCAAAAAACAAATACATATAATTGTTATAAAAACATAATTAAATATGTAGAGTTATGTTATTTTTGGATGGTAGTACTATCATTGATGTTTCTTTTCATCAAGGTTTTTATGTTTTTGACTTTTTCTATAAAGAACACATTACTTTATAGTGAAAAATATATAATAAATGTTATTCCTCGAAAGCAAAGTATAAACATGCACAGTTTGGTACAGTGGTTGCCTTTTCCACCGTTTTATTCTTTCTTGCAGGTGAATCCCATTCTCGTGTTTGCAATATCTGAGAGCTGGATGTCCACATGATGCCATCCACAGTAGCTGAGCACCTTCTGTCCCTGGGATCTCAGACTCTGCCTGCCACAGAGCAGACAACCCGAAAACCCTCCTCACTGGCTATCATCATTCCTGAAAGGTCTTCAGGTGTGTCCGTAATTCCAGCAATTCACAGAGTGAATCTACACCAGAAAAGCACATAACTACCATGAGCATAAGGTGTGGGAGTGCCGAGGACTGACCATAGAACTATAGACAGTGAGATCATAGCCAGACACGACTTCTCATTTTATAGATGAGAGACCTGAGGCCCAGAAAGAAGAAGGCACTTGGCCATGGCCACACAGTGAGTTAGTGAGGCTGGAGCCCAGGTCTTCAGAGTTCTATGCCGAACTAGTCACAGGCTGTTAGGTAATTGGCTTTCCTGGGTTCTGGTCAAATTCATTTTTTGCCTACTCTGCCGCATCTACAGTCAGAGGTGATTTGGGTGAAAGTTCATTAAATCATGTCTATTTCTTGTCTATTCAGTTTTGTGGCTCCCTGGATCTCTTTGACTAACTTCTGTTCTTTTTAAATCCAATATGCTATCAATACATGGTGAAAATATTCTCTGAGAACAGTTTGGCACTTCCTCAAAAAGTTAAACATAGGTTTACCATATGACCCAGAAATTCTCCTCCTAAGTATATACCCAAGAGAACTGTAAACAAGTTCACACAAAATACACACTCAAATATTCAGCAGCATTATCCCTAGTAGTCAAGAAGTGGAAACAATCTAACTCTCCATCAACTGATGAATGGGTAAAGAAAATGTGCTATTCATACAACGAGGTCTTATGTGGCAATAAAAAGGAATGACGTACTAATCCATGCTACAGTATAGATGAACCTTGGAAACATTATGTTAAGTGAAAGAAGGCAGTCAGCAAAGACCACGTATCATATAATTCCAATTACATGAAATGTCCAGAATAGAAACATCCATAGAGACAAAGTAGATTAGTGGTTTTCAGGGGCTGAGGGCAATGGGAAGTGACTGCTAATGGATGTGGAGTTTCCTTACTGGCTGATGAAAATTAGATAGTGGTGACTGTTGCATAACTCTGTGAATACACACACACACACACACACACACACACACACACACACACACTTTAAAAGGATGAATTTTGGCTGGGCGCGGTAGCTCATGCCTGTAATCCCAGCACTTTGGAAGGCAGAGGTGGGTGGATCATTTGAGATCAGGAATTCAAGACCAGCCTGGCCAACATGGTGAAACCCTGTTTCTAGTAAAAATACAAAAATTAGCCAGGCAGTAGTGGTGAGCGCCTGTAATCCCAGCTACTTGGGAGGCTGGGGCAGGAGAATCACTTGAGCCTGGGAGGCGGACGTTGTGGTGAGCCGAGATTACATCACTGCACTGCAATCTGGGCAACAAGAATGAGACCCTGTCTCAAAACCAACGAAAACAAAAAACAAAAGGAAAGAAAAGAAAAGGGATGAATTGTTTGGTATGTAAATTACATTTTTAAAAAGATGGTTTCTGATTAAAACCCAAGGAAAATGAAATTGGAGGCAATCCACAGTGAGAAAAGTGTTACAATATGAAGATCTAGACTTCAAATGCCCAAAAAGAGGATTTATAAGTAGGGTTTCTACTCGGAAAAATGGAATGGTGGAATAGGTTCTGCCTTATAAAATAGCTATTCAGATGTGAACTAGAATCCCAGTTCCTCTACCACCTGGTTGCATAACCTTGGTCAAGTTCCTCACCCTTCGTCAACCTCAGTTTCTTCATCCGTTAAATGGGATGATAAAGTTTCTCTTACAGGTAACGGCATGTACTGTGTCTTATTCACATTTAGTTGCCTTTGGTTTCCCCTTATCTTTTCCCTAATGTCAGCAGTCACCCTGAGACTGCAGTGCTGGCACTTTCGCTCTCACGCAGAGTCTGAAAACTTCTGAGTGCTTCTTAAACTGTAACATGCACAGGGGTTCTTTTCTTTCCCCTTAGCGTTTCTCAAACTCTGTAGGTTTGGTGACGAATACAAGGCTTCTCAAACAAAAATGTGCATAGAGTCATTTGGGAATCTTGTTAAAAATACAGAATCTGATTCTCAGGTCTGGGATGGAGTCTGAGATTCTGCATTTCTTTCTTTCCTTTTTTTTTTTTTTTTTTTTTTTTCCTGAGATGGAGTCTTGCTCTGTTGCCCAGGCTGGAGTGCAGTGGCACGTTCTCGGTTCACTGCAACCTCTGCCTCCTGGGTTTAAGCGATTTTCCTGCCTCAGCCTCCTGAGTAGCTGGGATTACAGGCGCATGACACCATAGCCAGCTAATTGTTGTATTTTTAGTAGAGATGGGGTTTCACTATGTTGGTCAGGCTGGAAGATTCTGCATTTCTAAAAATCTCCCAGGCAATGCTATTGTTTCTGGTCCTTGGAAACACCTGACCAGCATGGTTCTGAGTCACAGGAAATGTGAAGCTAGAATGATTTATAGAACCTTCCTCAAGTAGCAAAAATTAACTGGGTTTTATAACTAAAACACAAAAATACAGTCCAAAATAGTGTCAAAGATTTTTTTAAAATTCCTTTTAGAGGCTGAGGGTGATGGCTCACACCTGTAATCCCAGCACTTTGGGAGGCCAAGGCAGGGGTATCATGTGAGGTCAGGAGTTTGAGACCAGCCTGACCAACATGATGAAACCCTATCTCTACTAAAAATACAAAAACTAGCCAGGCATGGTGGCGGGCGCCTGTAATTCCAGCTACTCTGGAGGCTGAGGCAGGAGAATCGCTTGAACCTGGGAGGTGGAAGTTGCAGTGAGCTGAGATCACACCACTGCACTCCAGTCTGGTGACAGAGTGAGATTCTGTCTCAAAAAAAAAAAAAATATATATATATATATTCACAGAAATCTCTGCAGCCTTCTCTGAGGGTCCAGAATTAACATATGAAATTCTAATTTGAACCACAAAAATTAATAGCAACATGTATACTCGTATGAAGTGTCAACATTTTCCAAGTGGAACTTGTATCTAGTATTTCGTTTACTCAGTTAGACCAGGTCTGGGAGGTAGGCAGAGTGAGGGTGATTATCTCCGTTTTGTAGATGACAAACATTGAGGTTCAGGTAGGTTAAGTGATCTGTTGAAGCCACTGAGATTATCCCTGGCTGAGCCGGGGTACAGGAATACCATTATTCCCTGTACCTGAGTCCT